GTCCCGGATGCCAATGCCCTGGATCGAAGCGCTCTGAACATGCATTTTCCAAAACTCCTGAGACCTCTGACACGGCACCCACGGGCTCCTCTGCAACCGCTTCGCCAAAACTCTGGACCCTCGGACCCCGCGTCGTTTGGTCCACTCCTAGATTGCGGCCAACATGAGCACCTTCAAAATCCCACTTGCGTTGTATCCAAATAATCGCAACACGCGTCGAATAGCGGCTGGCCAGCACGACGCTGGCTCTCAGACTGGGAAATGACCAGATGGGGGCGCTCGAGAAGCACGCGCGCAAGCGCGGAACCACGCGGCAACGCTCCCTCCACGAACGCGCCGTGGCCCGCTGCCTGCGCGGCGATGTCTTCAACGACGTCGCGCAACATAACGCGGGGGAACAGCTCTCTCAACATGTGCAAGGGTTCCGCGAGCGTCGAGCACAGCAGCGAAGTTGCGAACCCACTGCGGGCAATAACCCCTTGAAACGCGACGACAGGGTTACGGTTACCGGCCGCGCCTAGCTAGCGCGCGCCGCGTGCCCACCGCGGCGCAGCGACAGCCGCAGTCGCAGTTTGGCGAGGCTAAGCAAATACTTGACGCCTGCCACCGCGAGCAAGTAGCGGAACCACTCAGACGTGCCTTCGCGAGATCTCTGAGCGCCGACGCCGCGCGGCCTTCCGCGCCCAAGCGCCGCTCCACCCCTCGGCTCTGCTCCCAAACGGCCCGCTCGCAGCTGCGCCCAGCCGCGCCGCCGCGGCAATTGCGTCGGCCATCTCGCCCCCATTGCTCAACTTTGCGCGCGACGAGTTTCGCGGAAAATCCCGGTCGGCGAGGGAAGCAGAGCAATGAGTCGGAGCCCTCCTCCAGGCACGCCTAGCATCTAGAGGGTCGCAAGCAGCTCCATCCTCCCTCCTCCTCCTCCACCTCCTCATATTCGTCCTCCCTCTCATTCTGCTCATCCGTATCCTCATCCTGCGCATCCTCCTCCTCCACCTCCTCCTCATCGTATTCGTCGGGTTGTCCTTAGTAGTCGTAGTACTAATATTTTTCCTGGTATTCGTATGGCTGGTAGTAGTGGTATTCGTATTATGTACTATTACGAGGATTCGTCTCATTCGTCGTATGCATACTCTTGTCATTGTTACTCGTAGTATTAGTAGTCGTTGTCGTATGTGTCTTCTCCGTATTCTAATTCCTCCTCCTCTTCCTCCTCCTCCTCCGCCTCATCTTCC